CCCCAAAACCCCAAAACCCCAAAACCCCTAGATGCTTTGATATAAGGTAATTGAGAATGTTAAAATTAAAAATAGAATTATGAGTAAGAAGATTACCTCTAAGTTTATAATTATTCTATGTATTACCCACTGGTACCCTGTGTTTGATTGTATATATTATATCTCAGTAGAAATATGTGTAAGGATAGTCTAGTGGTGAAGAATAATAGTCAGATGATTCTTGTACAAGAATTTCATCGTCAGTGACTGCTTTTGCAATCTTGATAACATCAGGAACATATGGAAGTACCTTTTTAGCAAAACCACCTACTCTGCTCAAAAAGCTTTTGTGATGCTTTTTTGGATGTGCTGGCTGCCCTGATTATGGTTTTAATGGTTATCTATTATGTCTTTGAACAGTTGGATAGAATGGATCCTCAACTGAAATTCCTCCTAGAGCACCCGCAATCTCAATCGCTGGGATAGCATATGGAGCGGCTTTTTCAGCTCCGTAAAGTACGTCTTTTCCAGCAGTCTTGAAGCTGCTACCGATTTTGTGGAAGAAACTAGTTTCTACTTCAGGGAGATATGTTCCATCGTAAAAATATGGATCTTCTACTCTGAGTTCATTAGCCATTCTTTCCCTTAGCATTAAAACTGGCCTTTTGACTTGATTGAGATTATTATTTTAATTCTTGGATTATTCCAAATGATGAAGAAGCTCATCTAGATCATTGATTTATACTTCTAATTGTTAAGCTCTTTATTATAAGCTTTGAAGCTTTTCAGCAATAACACCTACACTTGAGTGGACTTTCTCCTATCCATGAGAGGATACTAAACCAATAAATAAGATTACTGCTAGACTTATGATTCTCATTCACTAAGATTTGAACTTTATATTTATAAATTAAAATTATAAAAATATCCCAAAAAATTAAGTTAATTACTACTTTTAATCTGATTAAATAAGTTTTCATTGAATTACCATGATACACTCTATTTTTATATAAAGGGGTTTTGGGGTTTTGGGGTTTTGGGGTTTTGGGGTTTTGGGG